GTGTTGTACGATGCTCTATTGCAAGTGCGAAAACAAGGCAAGCGGTGTTGGCGGCAGCGGCTCGGAGCGCCCGGCGGGCAGGCAACCCGCTCCGCTTGGGTGCACCGGGCCGAGAGCGTTGCCTACCCGGGCAGGCACTCCATCTCCTTCTCCACGTCCCCGTGATGGACCCGTCATACGGGCTGGCCCTCTGCGCGCGGCGCCCTGCCCGCCCTTGCCCGCCCTGCCCGCCCTGCCCGGCGATTCCCTTTGTTTTTCTCCTTTATTAATCCTATTAACCGTTTAAACCACATGAAGGCTGGCGGGCTGGCAGGCTGGACCGGGCCGAGCCTGGGCGCGCGTCGGCCAACACGCGCAAGCCGCACAAGGCGAGCACACTGCACCGCGCGGCCCAGGCTCACTTTTCAAACTCACCCGCTGGTTTGGTCGCGGGTTCAAATCCCGGCGTGTGTGATTTTTGTTTCGTTTTGTCTTTTCCGTGCCTTACGTTTGACACCCAGAGCTCGTGCGCGACGAACATCGCCGGCGGCAGCGCCGCGTTATTATGGTTGTTTGCGTAAGCCGCGTCCAGCCGCGTCCAGCCGCGTCCGGCCCATTTCAACACTTTGGGGCTCATCAGGGAAATTACAGGCTATCTCCTGGAAAGGAGACGACGGGTGTACAGATGAGCGAGAGAGACAGAGAGAGAGAGGGACAGAGCTCGAATTATCCTGGAACCACCCTGCTATGGTAATGACCGATCAGTATTTATCACCTTGGCTTGACCTGGGGCTCCGTTCCACCTTCCTCCCGTGTCCGTCCGTCCGGCCCGGCCGGGTGCCGGCGAGGAAGAGGGCGGGTTGCCGCGCCCCGTTCTCCAGACCATTGCGGACGTGTGATAATAAGGACACTGAATGGAATCGCTCCCCGCCACCGTGCAGCAGGCCGGGGCTGCCGTCGTGGAAGCCGTCGTGGACGCCGTCGTGGACGCCGTCGTGGACGCCGTCGTGGACGCCGTCGTGGACGCCGTCGTGGACGCCGTCGTGGACGCCATCGTGGACGCCGTCGTGAACACCGTCGTGGACGCCGTCGTGGACGCCGTCGTGGACGCCGTCGTGGAGCGCCGTCGTGGACGCCGTCGTGGACGCCGTCGACGCCGTCGTGGACGCCGTCGTGGACGCCGTCGTGGACGCCGTCGTGGACGCCGTCGTGGACGCCGTCGTGGACGCCGTCGTGGACGCCGTCGTGGACGCCGTCGTGGACGCCGTCGTGGACGCCGTCGTGGACGCCGTCGTGGACGCCGTCGTGGACGCCGTCGTGGACGCCGTCGTGGACGCCGTCGTGGACGCCGTCGTGGACGCCGTCGTGGACGCCGTCGTGGACGCCGTCGTGGACGCCGTCGTGGACGCCGTCGTGGGACGCCCCCCTCGAGGGGGTGCCGTTGATTGATCGCACCTCGTTCTCGCTCCTCGTGCGGCACCCAATCTCGGGCGGGCGGTGAGGCTCACCAAGGCACACCGTGGCACACCGTGGCACACCGTGGCACACCCAGCCGACTCTGCCGCACGCGTGATAGGGATCGTCGGCTCCCTTGAAGCTCGCAGCTTGCAGCGCGATGGGCGGTACCCTGCGGTACCCTCGGCGGTGCGGCGGTGCGGCAGCAGCCAAGGCCGCCCGATGCGGGCCAACTCATTCCAAATCACATTAACGCCGGACAAAACAAACCGACAACTTTTCGAGGCGGCAGTGCCGAGTTCCGTTTTTCACCGAAACGAAAAAAGTTTGCATTTCGGCTAGCTAGGCAAAGGGATCGGACGGCCGGCCGCGCGGCCCGTGGACGTGCCGGATGTGTATCAGCGTCATTTGCGCGGAAGGACGTGACCTTTCTGTGGCGGTGTGGCAGTGTGGCGGTGTGACGGTGTGACGTGACACGGAAAGGCGAGCAAGGATGTGGCGTCGGTGGCAGCGCGCTAGTTTGGTTGGTTTGACGGCCGCGAGGACGTTGACGCGTTGACGCGCCGTGCGTTTCGGCGTGTGTTACAGTGCCGCGTCCCCGCGCCCCGCCCGCCCGATTGCTATTTCATTTGCCAGTGCCGCGAAAGCCGCGAAGCGTGTTCACATTAAATAATAGATAGAATAAAAAGCGAGCGCCGACGCGAACAAGAAAACTGGCCGTGCTGGCGTGTGCTATCGAATTGACAACGGGGTGCCGCACGAGCTGGTTTATGGGCGCCGCGAATATTATCTCCGCACAGTAACGAACGAAATGGGGCGCTTTGCTTCGCTTTGCCTCGCTTTGCTTTGAAATGGTGCCAAACCAGCCTTACATGTAAGTGCACTCCTCATTCGTCGCCAAGGTATTCGCCCCTTTCCCCCTCCCCGGGTCGGCCGGGCCTGGCCGGGCCCCGCGTCGTCCTTCCCTGTCGCTGCGTATTACGATACAGCGGCTTGCGAGTTGCTCTTCGATCGGCTGCGCTAGCGAGCTCGCTACTCTGCTCTGTTTCGCCAGCTTCGCCAGCTTCGCCAGCTTCGCCAGCACCCGGCGGCCCCAGCCCCTCTTCCTGACGCGGCGCGCGGTGTCGCCCGGGGCCGGCCGGGCCTTAGCCGGGCCGCCCTAGGACTAATTTGTGAAGACACCTCGATACGGCGGCGGCGCGCCACGGCGTGGCACGGCGCGGCGGGCCCCGATTTCCGTGTGATGGATGGGCGCTGCGCGGTGGGCCGCTTCCCAGCGGGTTGTCGCCTCTCTCTCGCACTCGTTGCCGTCCGCCACGGAGTGCGAGAGAGACAGACCGGCGGGACACCGCGTTTGGAACACCGGCCGCCACGGCGCCGCAACTGCCGCGCCGCCACCGCGAGTCGCGTGGGTCTTGCCGACCACTTGGAGGCGCCCGGCCGCCCGGCCGTCAGCCACGTCCCGGGGCCGCGGGGCCGCGGGGCGAGGCTTCGAGGCTTCGAGGCTTCGGGCGGGACGCGCTGCCACCGCCCGGGTGGACCAGCCAAAAACACCGAAACCACCATGTGCCTTTTGACACGTTTGACGCGAGGCGCGCGAGGCAGGAGGTTTCTTCCCGGACTGTACCTGCCCGTCAGCGCTGGCCGCTCCAGCCCGCCGCCGGCCGGAAGCCCCGCGGCCATCAATACGCTCAAAAATCCACCTTGTTATGAAGCTAAGTAATTATTCCAACGGCAGCGCTTATTTCTCACTGCAACTTATTAACGCGGCCGGGTTCTAAGTAAACGTATTAACACGCCAACCGGCTGGACCGCACGATCAAGGGGAGGGGAGGGGAGGGGGGGGGCTCTGGTTGCCCAAGGTTCGAAAAGCCGTTGTCGTTTTGACACGTTTCTACAATACGATAAATTGCCAGCAACGTACTCATCATAATTAGTAGGAATGAAGGATGGCACCCGGTCCGGAGTGGCAGTGCGACCGGCAGAGCGACCGGCCGAGCGGGGCGGGGAGGGGGCGAGGGGCCGGGCAGTCGAAATGCAGGAATGCAAGACGTTCGCGCGGTTTCCGCCCCACTGCCTTGCACGTCGCCTTGCACGTCGCCTTGCTTTACCTTGCGCCTTGCGTCGCCCCGCATTGTTTTTCTCGTTTCTCGGCCGGCCTGCCCGCCGCCGGCCTGCCTTTGCCGCCCCTGCGACGCCCCTGCGACCGCGCGTCGCCGCGCGTCGCCACTCGGTGCGTTAATTGGCCCAAAACTGTTTTCGATGCATACTAAGCGCAGTCCACGCCGTCCGCGCCAGCCTATTGAATCACGGCGATTTAATCAGAGGAATAAAAACGCACAGCATCGGAGCGCAAATTTTTTTCTATTTGTTTTTTTTCTTTTGGTCGCTGGCTTGTATTATGCACAGCTTGATTAGCGAGACGGGTACACTGGTACACGGAGTGACTGCGGCACCGCCAGGCCCTGCGCAGCGCCGCGCGCAGTGCACATAGTTCAAGTTATTATCCGAGTGCCCGTCGATTCGAGAGTCATTACTCATTACCGGCTCGTCAGCACCAGCCTGCACCAGCACACCCATCCTTTTTTTTCCTTCTCTTTTTCTTATCCCTCTTGACCTGCACTGATCCCATCATCAACACTCTTTTCAATGTGCACCTATCGCCTTATTAACGCGCCCATATTTTTTCCCGCTAGTGTATGCACCCCAGATTAGAGGAGCCTCTTGTAATGAAAGCAGAAGTTACGCGCATAAGCAGGGCGATGCAGGGCGAAGCAGGGCCCGCCGCGTAGCCGCGTCTCCCCATCGCCCAATTCTTAGTTATGAACTGATTTTACATAAAGGACACGCGCGTGACTGAAATGATATGGCGTTCGCCCATTTTCGGCTCGTAATTCGTTTCCTAACCCGCCTCGCCGTCGTGCGGTCGGCATTAGGAAAACACAAAACATTCAATTTGAATTTCCCGCGATGTTTTCCCCGCAGTAACTGACACTTGCTCTTGCCGCCCCCTTCCCCGCCTCCCTCCCCGGGGCCCGTCCCGAAATGGAGTGCGCGGCTCGGCCGCGTAGAAAGCGGCTGTAAATCTCGCCGGCAATAATAATTTGCGGAGATTCCCTACGGAAGCCAATATACGTGTTTGTCTGTTGACCGGCGGACCGGCCACGGCGGCCACCAGAGCAGCTCCTGCGCGCCGCCTCTGCCCGCCTCGCGGCCGGAGCGGGTTTTTCTCGCCTTCGGTTTTCCGTTCGCGTCCTTCTTCGCGAAGGGCAAATTATGACCAGATCCTTTGCGTTTGTGGCGTCGAAATTATGTTTTCCCCCGGCCTGATGGCGGACTAACCACACCAACTGGGAAAGAGCGGGCTCTGAATATGGTCGCGGCCACGGGGGCGTTTATGCAAATGCGCGCCGCGAGCGACAAGCTTGGCCAGCCTAGTTGCAGCCACGGGCTCTGATTGTTCCACACCCAATCAGGCGGGTCGAGTATGTCAGAAATCCTCGCCAATCGTGTGTTTGTGTGTGTTTGTTTGCTTCGAAAGGACGGGAGAAATCAAGAGGTCAGCGTTTTCGGACATTTTAAACGATTGTTTAAATTTATTAGTATAGTTACAGACTTTTCACAGTTTACAGCCATATATTATTTTAGATCATTTACGTTTACAACAAGAGAAAATGATAGAAACAGGGAAGGATAAACACAGATACAGTATGGTACAAATAAATAGACTATTATGAAACTTTATTATGCTGTAGGTGCATGAGATTCCGATAGGCTTTAAAACTACGTAGGACTCCTACGGTAAATATTATAGCAACAGGTATACAAAAAGAAACAGTTTCAATTGTCTTTATTCTCAGAAATATCACATTCACTATATTTAACAGCCTCACACAAGATCTTTCCTATCTAGAGTCTAATAAGAACCTCTACAAAATTTTGAGCAGAATCGGGTTGTTTTGGTGGTGGCTGAAAAGATGCCATGCCAAGAAACGTTTGTTTTCGCTTTGACGTTTTTTTTCTCCGGGTTTACTCTGATCCTTCCCACCGATCTTGTCAGCGTCACCACCAAATCAAGCCACCGCTTAAACTGATACATAAGGTTGAACCATAATTTAATTATGCCCTTAAAAGACCGCAAATGGTTTTACATACATCGTGCATCACAAGAACATCAAGTGAGAGCATTTTATGCCCAATAGTAAATACATGAAATTCGTAGCATACCAATACAATGACACAGAAAATCGATAATTATCAAGATAAGGGGTGAAATAGACAGACATAGAAATAGTAAAACCAAATGTGTTCGTTTCAATTGTGTAATTAAATTATAACTCTCAACATTACACATATTGACAAAACATTAACATGTTCGGTCTTAAATAGTCAATAAATTAATAATAAATCTTTCACTAATATGACATGGCAACTGAAAAAAAAAATGATTTGACTATTCGCCGGTTGGGAGATACAGAAGGTGGGACCTTTCTGCAATACTGATTGGACACGGCCTATTCCTTAATATCACATTATCACGTCTTGACTATACAAGAAACTACTTGCCTAACAAGATATCTCCCGTCGTTGCGCTTGGCGCTTCGGTAAAGACTGTTTCGCCCTGTTTTTCTAACGAGGACAAAAATGAACAAAAAAGCATTAAATACTATGTGCGGGTCGTTTAGAGGCCATGTCCAAATACAGCTATAGGAAAAAACAACAAATAAAATAGCAAAAAAACATCAAATAAAATATAAAAACGGATTCGCCAACGCAATGGTAAGGGAATTCCAAACAAAATTTGCATATCCCTAGAGGGACCTTTTGCAGGCTTGAAAACTAGAAAGCTGGGAAACGTTCCCATAAACGAACATAAGTTAACGTGAAAATGTAACAGTTAAATATTTATTATATGTACACAGTTGGGTTTCGAGAAATTTTAGTCGACTATCTAATATGTACATAAATTAATTGAAACGGTATTAGGCCTAAAGAATTTGTACGCTGATGTTTAAAGTGGTAAGCACCACTGGTACGAAACAAAGTCACGTAAAATAAACCCGGGTTTATACAGCAAGTTTCGGACAAAAACAAATAAATACAAAACGATGATGAGATCAGATCCTCCCCTCGCTAAGGAGAACCGGGGTTCCAACCCAGATCAGTCCAACTTGCCGGTTCTAATTCACGGCAGAACCAGAATCACAACCGTCTCGGGTTTACAACCTGCAATTGGGAGTTCTTTTCTACAACACAGCTATGATGGTGGCTTTGTCCGTGAAACACAGAACCGACGCCTGAAACCCAAGGGGTGAAACCTAACACTTTGTACTCCATCGGTACTAACGCTCATTTGGTAACTCAATTTGTGGAACTTGAATGACTGAGTTCAAAGTGCCTTCAACCAACCTTTATACACGTTGCTTTGGTATGATTTTTAAGCAGACAACCGATGATTTAATGGGACTCCTTCGTTGCCTCATACGAAAAACGAAAAATTGAAAATGCGCGTCCGCGCGAAAGAAGTACGCCCAACATCCCGATGTTATCATTGTGGCCACTTTTGGTTTTGTTTGGCAACGTCCCAAATCAACCATATGTAAAGGTCCCATGCAAAACATTCACGCCGGAAGAGCACCCTGGCACCTAACACACTCGCACGCACGCACACGCACACACACACACACACTACCTCACTCTCACGCACACATGCACTGACTCGCTAAAGTTTTCAAACACTCAATTTTATTTATTTTTAAAAGGTATACGCCCTCATGCCCTCTGATTGCGAACTCGTTTCCATTCGTTATTTTAGATCCACATTTTTTGAAGTTTTAAGCATAGTACGGAATGTCTTCTTTCTGTTAAATGGTTATTTAACGCTCAAAAATATAACAATTTAATACAAATAAAAAATAAAAATAGCATACTTCGGTCCTTTGTAAGTTACCTAATTAAAGCTTGATTGTTACATGTATTCAGTAGGTTAGCGTCTTCCTTATGGACACAAAGAATAAAACACAAATTGTCGTGCTAAAAATTCACAACAGACATAAACATAACATAACAGGTTTGTTTGCGAAACAGAAATCCCTTAACAAAAAAATGAAAACAAAGTAACTGACCTATCAGATTCCTTGGGGGCCTGCCCCCTATGCACTTGAAACACTCAACACTTTGTTCACTGGTCGAAACGTCTTGACTCATCACACATTCGCACACTTACACACTAGAAGAAATGTTTTTTGAGACACACACAATCAGTCGTACGTATCAGACACCATCACTACAGGGTACAAAAAAGAGAAAAATCACAGCAAAGAGAAGAGGTCTAACCGGGATTCGAACCCAGGTCCTAGCTTACAGCGCACTCGACACCACCGGCATGAGCCCGTCGTCCACCATGAGGTGCTGCTGGTGTAAGTGGTGGTGGTGCACGTGGCTGTGCTGCGGGTGATGCTGCTGCTGTTGCTGCTGCTGGTGACTGCTGCTGCTCAGCTTCTCCTTCTTCATGCGCTGCTTGAGGTGCACCTTGGCGTGCCTCTTCTTCTCGTCGGAGCGCGCGAACTTGCGGCCGCAGACGTCGCAGGAGAAGGGCTTCTCCCCGGTGTGCGTCCTGATGTGGGTGGTGAGGTGGTCCGAGCGGCTGAAGGAGCGCATGCAGATCCGGCACTGGAAGGGCTTCTGCCCCGTGTGGATCCTGATGTGCCTCGTCAGCTCGTCCGACCGCGAGAACCGTCGGTCGCAGTTCTCCACGGGGCACGCGTACGGCCGCTCGTGCACCGGCGTCTTGCTGGGCCGGTTGGGGTACTTCCTGGGCTTGACGGGCACCAGCTTGAGCGGCAGCGGCGACTGCTGGTACACTTGCGACAGGATCTCGTGGCCCTTGCTCGTCGAGGGGTTGTACTCGGCCAGGTTGACTGGGTTGGGCGGCCCGGAGAAGGGCTGCTGTTGCTGCTGTTGTTGTGTTGCTGCTGCTGCTGCTGCTCCGCCGCCGCGCTGAAGGGCTCCTGCTTCGGCACCACGCCGGGGGTGGCGGGGCCGCCCATCATGTTGTAGTCCTGCGCCGGTGAGTCCAGCCACTGGTACTTGTTGGGCTGCTGCTGCAGGCGGTACTCGGGCTGCTCCAGGCAGCTGCTGTAGCTGGGCGGCTGCTTCATGCAGGGCTCGATGCTCAGCCCCAGCAGCTCGACCTGCTGCTGCTGCTGCTGGCGGTCGTCGTAGTGCTGCTGCACGGGGCTGGAGCTGGTGGCGTAGTGGGAGTGCTGCGGCGGCGACGCGGCCGGCTGGTTCAGGATGCCGAAGATGGGCGGGAAGAGCGTCTTGTCGGGCGACGGCAGCAGCCAGTGGTTGGGCGACGGCAGGTCACCGAGGCCGCCCTGCTGGCCGGACAGCCCCATGCCGGAGCCCGTCGTCGTGAAGATGCCGCGGTAACTGATGCGCTGGGGGAACATGCTGCTCTGGCTGGTGTTGCTGAGGTCCTCGTCGGCCACGCCGGGCACGGGGCTGCCGCACAGCTCGACCTTGGCGGTCAGGCTGGACGAGGTGGCCGTGGAGGCCGTGCTGGCGGCCACGGCGTCCGGGACGCCAGGGCTGGCCAGGCTCTTGTCGGGAGTGGCGGCGGCAGTCTCCAGGTCCAGCTCCTCGCTCGGCAGCGCGCCTGCAACACAGAAGCACACACGTGGTTAGCACCGGGGCGTCAACGCGCGTCCACGCGGAAGCCGCGGCCCGAAGCCCGCAGGGCCCGCAGGCCGCGGCGTGGGAAGGAATAAACAAAAAATACACTGGGACGGCTGACCCGGCGAGCCACACATGTCAAAACTGTACGCGCGCGAAACGGGGTGCGCGCACACTCACGCGCACACTCACACACACAGACACACACACAAGGCGGAAGTTCCTTTCTGGCCCGCGCTAATGCTCCAGTGATTGACCGCTTCCTTGCGTGATTCCGATCAGAGCTCGAGGACCTAACGAGGTGTCGTCCTCGCCCTCCCCCGGACCCCGAAAGTACCGCTCCTCCACTGCCTTTCCCCGGTACGTCAGTCCGTCCACGACGGTCCATGACGACCGCCGCCAAACTCACCGCCTATGCCGCGCCGCGCCGGGCCGCCTCGCGCCGCCTCGCCATGCCGCTATCTCCGAAACGGACCAAATTATCGCACAGCGTGTGGCCCACACTGGCTACACTGGCTACACTGGCTCGCCGACACGCAGCACGTCCGCGCGCGTTGGGCTCCGTGTCGCACTGTTTCGGCCGCCTCGCCTCGCGGACTGACCTAACCGATTCCGCGGCATGGCGCGCGCCACAAGGGCGTAACTGCGCCGCCGGTCTGGAGGCTTGAGCGGGTTCGGCTCGGCGACACCTGACACGCCTGCCCTGCCCCTCCCCCCCTCCCCCGCGCCGCTCCGCCCCCGCGGGTTGTGCTGAAGCACCTGTTAGTGGCGCTCCGCGGGTCAAAACATTTCGCCCGCGCCGACGCGCTGACGGCGCCCCTTTCGGCCGCGGAAAAAAGGAAGGCAAGATTTTCCCGGGCGAGCGGCGCGGAGGCGCGTCTGGGACGCCTGACGCGTTGCCAGGGCAACCCGAACTCAGGCGGGGGAAAATCGTCGCTCTAGGAGATAGCGTGTTTCTCGCGACCAAGTTCCGCACTTCGTTCCGTTTTGTTTCCGAAGCTGCCGCCCTGCCGACGCGATGCGCCGCGTACGCGTACCTGGCAGACTCGGACGGCCCAGACAGCCGGGGGGGTCTCCGGTGGATTTAGCTGACTGTCGTGAATGTGGCTGCGGCCACGCCACCGATAGAGAGACAGAAAAAAAGAGAGAAAAAGTTGCGAAGCTATTTTTAACACTTCTCCGAGGCCCTTCTTCGGCCACTGTGCCAACAACATGTTTCTCGTTTTTTTCGACCAATTACGGGGAGGTTTGTCTTATTGGTCCAATTAAAACACGTTTTCTTTTTTTGCCTCTCTCCTGCCTGCTCTACAAGTGCTGCTTAAGTGAGTCTAATGGCAACCAATGCCGCCAGGGCGCGCCAGCTGTCACCCAGGCGCCCGCAGCCGCCAGGCCACCGCCAGCACCGAGCAGGCCAAGGAGGAGAAGAAGGGGAAGAAGAAGAAGGAGGAGGAGGCCGATTCGTTGGATGCATTTCCCATAATGCACGCTGTGGGAGACCGTACGCTGTTCCCTCGCATCCGCGCCCGCGGGCACGGGCGGGGCGGCTGCGGCGATCGGGCGGGGCGGGGCGGGCGGGCGGGGCGGCGTGGACAGGGCGTACCCCAACGAAACGATATGACACACAGGCCTTTATGACGGTGATTTTGGGACCGGCTAGTGCGTACGGGGAGTACGGGGCATCTCAATCATCGGCAGTCTGGCAGAGCATGGCAGAGCGCGCCCCGGGCCATGGGGACACGCCGGCCGACGGACAGACCGACAGACAGACAGACAGACAGACAGACAGACAGACAGACAGACAGACAGACAGACAGACAGAAGACAGACAGACAGACAGACAGGCATGGCACAGAACGTGTTAACTCGTTCCCATCGTAAAGCGCGATAACGGAGGCAGTGTTAGATTCCCACAATTTCCCATTAAATTATGCCATGATCGTTGCCCCTCCCGGCCTGCCGCTTGAGGACACCACCCTACTGTCCGCCTGGAGAACAACAACAACACCGTTGACGACGTGGTCATAACTGACGCAGGCCGTGGTGCTTACAGTGGCCACTGCTCCCTGGCGTCCCCCTCGCCCCTCCCCGCCTGCTCCTGTCCTGACTACTTGCCCCATGGCATGGGCCCTGCCGGGCCGTGCCGGGCCATGCGGGTCGGAGGTTAAACGCCTGCATGAGACGATTCCGTGCATAAATCCCATCAACTGCCTGGCGACTGCCTGGCGACTCGGCGACGGGGCGAGGGCCGTCTTTCGTCACCGTCTGGCAGGTCTCTGGAGGTCTGGAGGTCTGGAGGTCTGGCAGGGCGCGGCGAACGACGCGGGGAATTCTCCCTTTATAAAGTGTGCGATTTGCAAGGCGCCGCCAAGTCCGTCCGCCGCGTCCGCTGCTCGTAATGACGGCCTGGACGGCCTGGACAAGGCCTGGACAAGGGCGGCGGGGCGTGGCGCGGCGAGTGCGGCGCGCGAGGAAAAAAAAGGACTGCAAAAAACGGGGAAAGACCGACGCGGAAACTTATTTGCAGTGCCGTGGTGACTTTGTAACTGCAACACGTGGTTCCGGCGCGTGCCACCCAGCGCCGCCGTAATAATGGCCCGTTTAATTGCGGCGCCCTGCAGCCGAGCGTCTGTCTCTCTCGCACGCACGGCGCGCACGGCGCACGGGTGCGAGGGAGACGGCGCGGCGCGCACCGGACACCGCGACGTAACTCGACCGCCACGGCCGCCGCGCCGCCGCGACGACGCGCCCAATCGCGGCCCGCTCTTTTTAGACTAATCTTGTTGTGGCGGTTTCGTGTCGCCACCCGCGCTTTCGTACGGCCGCGGCGCGCGCAGATCCCGGCCCGAAAAAATAAATGAAATAGAAAACGAGAAAAATAAAGGCAAGGTTCGAAAGCGGCCGATGGACCCGAAGATGCTATTATTATTGGGAAACGGCGCAGTGTCGTCAGCAGCCGGGTCGGGCCGAGCGGGCGGCGGGCGGCAGGCTCCGCGGCGCGCTACGCGTTCGGCTACGCGTCGCATCGATTGGCCGGCACGGCAAGGTCAGGGCACCGCGGCACCGCGGCATCGCGACAAAAGTGACACGCGAATAGCGCGCTCTGGAGAAACTCCAGCGGTAGCGCTCGCTGTTGGTACTGCTGGTAACGCTATCTCGGCCGGAAATGGCGACGAATAAATCAGCTGGGCCCGGGCCGCGGCGGGGCGGCGGGCCGAGCAGCGGGCACGACGACGACGACGACGACGCGACGACCGTTCGGCGCGCGTCCGCCAGAGCGCGCTGCCGTCGCCTCAATTTCTTTCCAATTTCGTTTTCGTTTCCAGCAACTCCCCCTCCCCCTCCTCCCGCTGCAGCTCCTGCCGGCCGTCGTCTGGCACGAGCCAAGTGCCCCGGCAGGTACATACGCGGGAAGAGATTCCAGTTCATCCGGATGGGCGTCGACGGGCCGAGACCCGATCCAGCGAACAAAAAGGGAGAGAGAGAGAGAGAGAGAGAGAGAGAGAGAGAGAGAGAGAGAGAGAGAGAGGGGCTGCAGGAGGTAAGCGCTGCAGCGGCGGGCACGCGGCGACGTGTTGTCGCAGCCAGACGCTTCTGTTTCTGCTCTTCTCCTTCGCCTCCTTCTTCGAATTGACACGGGGCACGTGAAGGGGGCGGAGGACAGGGAGAAGCACGTGCACACGGCGCCACACACGCGCGTCTGTTGACACAGCTATTGGGGCGAGCGCAGCATCAACACACACGCGCACACACACACACACACACACACCGAGAGGTGCTTTCTACCGCGCTGCATGGACCCCTCGCTGCCTCGCTGCCCCACTGGGATTTCGGTCGTTGAGTCTGGGTCGGTCGTTGAGTCGTCAGTCGTTATGGTGTCGTGGCGCAACCTCTTCCTCCTCGGCAACGACACCTTAAGGACAGCTGTATAGCGTATATGGTGCCGATTTGTCAGATTGGAGGCCCCCTTCGCCACCAATGCATGCAGAGCCGGCAGACGGGCGGGCGGGCGGGCCGCGAGCGGACGGGCGGGCGGGGCGGCGGGACCAGGATTGATTCCCAGTGACAATTGAGTCTTCTTTGGGCCGAACCGTAAACCGGCACTTGCGGCCGATGGCCGACGACGGCGACGGATGGACGGCGGATGGCCGATGGCCGATGGCCGATGCAGCCGCTTTACTGCCTGGACACACGGACACACGGCGCGTGCGTCGCGCAGTAAAGTGGAGCGAACGGCCACGACAAAGTAGCCATTCCCAACGGGAGGAATTTACTTTTGCTGTGCTTGTTTTGCGCGAGAGGGCCGGTTGGTTACTTTGAAGAAATAACGAAATAAGCGGGCAGGCCGGGCGGCGGCGAGTGGGGAAGGGGGGGAACTCGACTCGCGCTTGTGCCCTCTAGCGGGCGGAATTTATAACAGAGGAGGTGTTTTTAATGAAGGCTCGGCCAGTGTCTTCTGCCGGGGGCTGCGAGGCGAGCGAGGCGAGCCGACAGTTTGTCTCGGATTGTAGAGTGTAAAGCTCTTCCTGCCTTGCATATTAAAGAAGTGGCCCTTTATTTATAGGTCGGCCGCGTGTCTTATTGTGACGCCGTTAATTCGTAAACGGCAACGGCCGTGGCGGTGGCGCTGTGTGGCGCTGTGTCGTCACGGCCCGGCGGACCCTCGGCCGGCCCGCCAGCCCCGCCAGCAGCGCCACCGCCAGCACCGCCAGCCCCAGCAAGGGTCAGTCGATAAACGGCGCACGTCACACCGATAACCTATCAGTGCGCGGCCGGCCCGCCACACGGGGGGCAGCTTGGCGCAGGGCGGCGCAGGGCGGCGCAGCCCCGCGCGGGGCCCAGCATTGACGTCACACAAATTCAATTTTTGTCTTGCAGCGAGCCTCGCCGCCTCGCCTCGCCTCGCTCCTCGGACCGAATGCAAATAAGTGGCAGCCGCATCCCTCGCGACGCACTGCTCCGGGCGGCCAGCCCCGCCAGCCCCGCCAGCCCCGCCAGCCCCGCCAGGACGATAAGGCTGCAGTGACGCGCTTCTTTACGGGCTGTGCTCGCTGTGCTTGTGCCGGCCGGGCGGCTGGGCTCGAAAAAGCAAGCCCGCCCGTCCGCCGGCCCTCTCCTTCCCCGCACGGTCCACCACCACCACCACCACCACCACCACCGCCACGGCCGCCCGATCGTACGACGGCAGCCTGTCGACTCCGCTCCACGGCGCACGCGGCTCGTCTTTGCGAATTTCGCCCGAAATCAATCTTTGTCAGCAGCGCGTGCTGGCCTGGCCGGCGGGTGCGGGGAGCGGGACCGGCCGACGCGGGGAGTAGGGAAGGGAGAAGGGCATGCCGGTATTTATTGTGGGCCGTACGTGTGCCGCGTCCCCAGCGTGTGCAGTACTGCCTGCGTCGCGGCCCGTGTTGCCTCGCATGCAGGCACGCCGAGGCACGCCGTCCCCCGCGGTGATCCTCTTGTTTTCCCCGTGTTGTTGTTTTTCTGCGCGGCTCTGCGGCTGTGCGGCTGTGCGCCGCGGGCGAGGACGATAATCTAACCCTCGGGGTGTGCCACGCCACGCCACGCAAAGGCAGGCCGACCTTCGACCTCCGGCCCGGCCCGGCCCCCGGCACAGGGCTCCTCTTTCCGCCGCGCCCCCCTTGGAGGGTCCTGGACGGTCCTGGAGGCAGGACGTGCAGCCTGCTTATCGCTCGTTCGGCAGGTGTCTTCGGCGACCTCTGACCGCGCGCTCCCCTGCACCCGAGCCAGCCCCGGGTGTCGACAAAGAAAGCAAAAGCAGAAACCAAAAACAACAGCGCCAAGGACATCGCCGGCGGCGGGGTTCGAACTACGTAGTGCCCGCCAGGACGCAGGCGCAGAAGCGAGGCGGCGGTTCTGAGGGTTCTGAATGGGAAGCGGGAAGCGGCAGGATGGGGAAGGGGCGGCGGCTCTCTGCCGGGTTGCGCAGTACGGCAGCACGGCGCGCCCGGGACGGGGTGGGTAAACGGGTGGGGATGAAAGATCGATATCTCGAGGCGTCGCTGTCCGCGGTGACGTCCAAGGGTCGGGCTGCGCGGGGCTGTGCGGGGCTGCGCGGGGCTGTGCGGGGCTGCGCGGGGCCCGGGAAGCTCGGAGGGCCTCGGCTGGTGCGCAGGGCGAGCGGCAGGGCAGGCAAAGGCAGGCACCATCGCGGAAACGAAACGAACGCGCGCAACCACCGGCGCAACTAGTGACCTCGCGCCCGGGGGCTATCCGAGACAAGGGCCGACGCCAACAACAGCAAAATCAAAAACGACAATAACAGCAGCAAAAACAACAACATGACGACGGCGGCCGTTTCGCCCGGTGCATGCGTGCGTGTGCGCGTGTCTCAATAAAATCAGCGCAGTGTTTACTGCCTCGGCAACGGGCACCACGACGCGGTCCACGAGCACCACAGGCAGGCCGGTCGGATAGCTGCAAGTCGTTGGGCTGGGCAGGGCTGGGCAGGGCAGGGCAGGGCTGGTGGGTCGGTGGCAGGGCGAGCGGGGCTGGGGCTGGCTGGGGCTGCCCAGGAAGGCCTTGGCCGCTGGGGCGGTGCCGGGGGTTGGCGCAGGCCCGGGCGCAGGGTACGATCGATCCACCACTCCCTCCCCTTCCCCCACCCCGACCCGACCCCGGGCCACCCCCACCCCTAGGCCCGGGCTCCATTCATGCCCAGCCACCCTCGCAGCGGCGCCACGCTCCACCCCACCCCGCCCCGCCGCGCGCCCTGCCGCCCCCATTGGGGCCTCCCATTCATGAAAACCCTCTACGAGCAACCTGTGGGATGCCAACGCTCCGTGCAGGGTTGGGCAGGGCAGGGCGTGGCGGGCACCCCAAGTCACATAACACTGCCACACGTACGCACACACACACACGCCACGCACTGCGTCGCGAGGCGGCACAATCACAACACACTCAGAAAAAGCGCGCGCAAAAGTGAAAATCCACAGAAAACTATCACTGCCCGGATAACGATTCACTGCACCCACCCACACACGCACGCATATGCACACGCACAAGCACGCACGGGCAGACACACTCTCACACTCACACAGCCGCACACGTTCACTCAAATTCGCAAGACAGACTATCGGCCTCATTGTCCACTTGTCACTGGGCTTTCACTCTACTCACCAGAGATGGGCGGCGGCTCGACCACATTGTTGGGGAAGAAGGAAGGGATGTCCCCGGAGGTGGTGACGGGGGTGTTGAGGTCGCCGGGCTGCACATCAGGGGCGGCGGCCTCCTGGCCGTAGACGTCCGAAGTGGCCTGGGCGCCGGGGACGGGACTCGAACCCGGGTCCTGCCCGGCGGGCCCCTTGATGAGGCACGCGTCGAAGCTGAGCACGTTGAAGTGGTGCTGGGCCGCGGCCGCGGACTCGGTGAGCAGGAAGGCGGTGGACGTGTGCGGGTAGAGCGGCGCCAGCGGCCCGGGGTGGGCGCCGTGGCCGCCGTGCCCTGACGCGGAGTGGGGCGGCAGCGTGTCCAGCCCGTCCATGGTCATCGTGGAGGTGCCGGCGTTGGGGCCGGCGGCACCTGCAGCAACGGGATGGCACTCAGCGGTCTGCGCCCACTTGTCCCTGCGCGGGAGCACGCCCGTCGTGGACGCCCCCGTGGCCCCGGCGTGCGTTTCGCGCCTTCCGTTCCGGTGCGGGGGCTGCTGGTTTGTTTACTGCGCGGCGCTGCTCGGCAGGGCGCGGCGCGGCGCGGCACTGAGCACTGAGTGGGCGCTCGGAGCGCGGCGCTGGCAGCGCAGGCGCGGCACAGAGGCACTGGGATCCACTCTGGACCAGGGTCTAGAAGAGACTGGCGCGGCGCGGCCGACCCGTCCCGCCGTCCGGCCCGCGCAAGACATTTACTTTTATGAATGGAGCATCTGTCCCATATTTGGAGCCTGGTAGGGGAGGGGACGCCGCCAATGGCGCGCGTGCTGGGGCCCCACCGGGGGCACGGGCGGGGCACGGGGGCCGGCCGGCCGGGGACGTGCCCCCTCCGCGCACGCGCGCGGACCCCCACTCCGCCACCGCCGGCAGCCTGCCGCACCGAGCCCCGCGACCCGCCCGCCCAGCGCCTCGCCGGCCCGGCCCGCCCGGCCCGGCCAACGGTGACGTCAAAATGACGCAATGCACTGCATATAGACTTCGGCTCAGCTTCGGGAACCGTTCGGCCGAGTTCGGGTCGGCGCGGCACGCGCGCGGCTTGAACACCGCGCGTCTCCCTGTGCGCAGGCTGGCCCAGGCCGGCGCGGCTACTTAGCCACCCTTGGTGTGGGGCCTGCGGGTCCGGCCGTCCAGCCTGCCGTCCAGCCTGCGTGCTGGGACCTGTGGAGCCTTGTGACCAGTGCCTCGCCGTCTGGAATCACCAGCCCCCAATGGTCGGCAGCGCGGGCACCTGTCCGTCCATCCCTGGTCCTTCCCCTAGCCCTTTCCATTCCCTTCTTACCGCTTTCCCATTTCGGTTTCCCACTGACTTCCAGCTTCCACCTTCCCGGACCCACATCCACTCCTCTTCCCCAGTCCCCTCCTCACTCCGCGCCTTCACTCGCCTCTTCCTACTTGCTCCACTGCCGGCCGCTCCCATGCCCCGTCTACGGCGCGCTCAGCTGTTCTCAAACGGCGACGATCATGCGTGTCGCCTATGCCCCAAGAGAGACAGAGAGCGACCGGGCCGGCGGCGGCGGGTGCGCGAGCGAGCGAGACGGAGGTGGCAAATCGGCGCTCATTTGGCGCCACGACGGCCTGGACGGCCAGGACGGCCGGGTCCGAACGGGACGCGGTCTCTATAAAAACGCGCTCTCCTTCGCCTTATAAGGGGCCGCGGCGTCCTCCGGGCCATGCCGGGCCGTGCGGGCCTTGCTGGGCGCGGTGACGTCACCACGGCGCCACACCTGCGTTCGGCGACACGGCGACACGCGGTGCGACGTGCGACACTCGGCGCGGCGTAACAGGTCCTGGTCCGCGCTCTCTACGCAGCGCCGAGGCTGCAGCCTGGAGCGCCTGCCGCGTAGGCACCGCGTCGAGGCCGTCGCGCAGGCGTGCGCACCGGGTTGCCTACCCCGCGCTCGGCGGGCGTTTTCGCGCACGCTGTAGCGCCTGGCGGGTAGGCCGCGCGTGGGCACGCGTGTCGGCGGGTTGCCTACCGCGCAGGCGTTCTGGAACTTGCGGCCCCGCGCTGTACCGCGCTACCGCACCGGGAAGCGCGGAGCCCGCCAACCTCCACAAGTGGGAGAGCGGCTATTGATTGGCCTCGGCCGGCGAGGGGTGCCGTGCCGCCCCCGCGGTCGCGGCTGGCTGCCGGTCCCGCCGGCAGAATCCGAGGGGCACGCAGGCCGACTCGCAGGCCGACGCACCGACGCAGGCACACGGGGACTCTCTGGCTTTTCATCGGGACAATAACGTGGCGCGGTAACTCAAGCCGCGGTCCGCGTTGTGACGGCGCGCGATGTCTCGCGGTGTCACCGCGTGTAGCGGGGCCGGGGCCGGGTCGGGGCCGGGCCGGGGACGACATCTCTCGCGGGGGGATTATTGAGTCGCTGAGTCGTTCCGGTGGTTGTAGCGGCTGTCGCTGTCCGGCGGCCATCTTGTCCGTCAGGCCGTCAGGGCGACGTGCATTGGCCAATTCGGCGACACATTGATGTCGAGGGGCCGGGCCGGCCGGCGGCGCCCAGACACCGCGGCCCGCTTGTCGCCGGGACCTGTTTCGAGGGGAAATTAAGAAACGACAGCGCCGTCGTCCGGCCGCGCTGGCGGCTGGCGGCTCGTGGTCGCGGTTTGCGCTGCCGATCGGCGGTCCGTGATTGGCCAAGCGCGGCCAAGCGCGGCCAAGCCGAGTAGCCGGTCCCCACCACGGCGGCAGTGCGGCAGGCGCCGCCTTATTGCTAGTGCCGCTGGTTGTTGTTGTTGTTGTTGTTTGTCCGCGACTCCAGGCGCCACGCCGCGGCCCCGCGGTCGGCGCTGACCATCCTTCGACGCGGTACCGCGGCCCTGGCCTTCAGCGCCTGCAGCGCGTCACGTCCGAAATAGACGCCGGCCACCCCAACCCGCCCCGCCGCCACGCCCATCGGGTGGCCGAGCGGGGTGGACGCGCAACGCGCACGGCGGTTACCGCGGTCTTTACCTTCTTTCCCAGAAGGCGCCCCGCCGGCCAGGGCGACGACGTCACGGGCCGCCCGAACGAGCGCGAAAACAATGTGCTAAAAGCACGGCGGTCTCGCAGTCCCGCCCTCGCCGCGCGTCCAAAACTCCCCGCGGCATGGCGCGGCCTGTTGCGGGATGCGAGATGCTGCCGGCGGGCCGCGCGCGTGCGCATGTCTTTGAACTTGGTGACGTCACTGACGTGGCGCGCCGCGTGCGCGGCGTGCGCGCGTGAGGGGCACGCGCGTGACGTCGGCCGTGACGCGCCGCCGCGTCAGCTGTTTGAAAACTCGCGCGCCGTCCAAATACAGACCGGCCACGCCATCCTCACTGGGGAGGGGGAGTGCACGGATCGTATTATGTCATCTAGTGGAAATTGTTATTTTCGGGGCTTGGCGCTTCTTCGGCCGTGTGAGTGTGTGAGTGAGTGCGTACTGTACGTACTGGCCGGCTGCCACGGCCGCCGAATCGCGTCCTTCCTACACTGGCCGACAAGTGACGTGCACTTCGGCATGGTAATGAGCCGGTAATTGTTTGACGGTCGATTGTGCGTGGGAGCGGCGTGACCCCGGCACACCCATGGGTGCCGTGCGGCCCGGAGCGGCCCGGAGCAGCCCCCAGGCCCAGGCCGGGCCCTCGTCGTGAGCCCTCGGGGGGTCACTGGGTCCCCGGGGCCGGCCGGGCCGGGGCACGCTGGTCCAGCGGTCACGGCGTGACTCGGCTCGAAAAGGTGCTGATGGGCTGCCCGGCTGGCGAAGAGGTGCGTCTTGGAGGTGAAAACGATCGCCCCCCAGCGGCCCAGCGTCCCGGTATGGCACCGGCATGGCCCCCGTCCGGCCCGGCCGCCAAAGCCGTCGCGAGGATGTTTTCATTGGAAGCCGAGCGACACTTAGTGGCGCGTTAGTCTTGATGATGAGTCGAGGGTCGTTTGGCCGCGCACCAAGCGCCGCACCGCGCCGCCAGAGTCCCGCCCTGTCCCCGCGGCCGCGCCGCCACGCCTCGAGCAGGGCGGCCAGGGCGAGGGAGGCAGAGAGGGACCTTTGTTTGAGAACGAGGCGCCGCATTTTACAAGAAAACGTAAAGTCGCTTTCTTGACGACACAGCGTCTGTCATGTGTGCGCGCTCCATCACAGCCTTCTTAGCCAACGGCTTCGCCGGCGCGCGCGTGTGTGCGTCTGTGTCTGTGTGTGTTTGCACGTTTCAGAGTGTGATATAACTTTCGTTCTAGCGGGGGATTTTTAGTTTTGGCTATAGTTTAGGAGATGAAACGCTGGCGGTGGTGGATCAAAGCTAAATTTATTCCGGCTGACCAGTGCCACGTGCTGAAAAATGAAATGCTCCGAACACGATCATCCACACCTGCCCGACCCAGATCATGCCCAAGAAAATCCTGCCTATTATAGAAAGACGATCGAAACCGGCATACGCGTCTCGGATTTTTTCTACGGCGCATGCCGACGTAAAATCTCGGGAACATATCCCGGCCGGCCTCGGCGTGGGGTCGGCGTGGGGTCGGCGTGGGGTCGGCGAGGGGTCGCTGCCGGAAGCGGTTCCGGGGGAAGCCGGAAGGCAGTAAACCGTACAGCTGGGACAATGCGCGGCCTTTAGTGCCCCGCGCCGTGCCGCCCCGCCGAAATAATGAAATGATCGATCCGCGGCGACGCGTTCGAGGCCACCGCCGACACCACCACCGCCACCGCGACGCGCCGAGACGCGCCGGCCCGTTTCCACGGCTTGTTCCGCGGGGATGCGCGGCCCCCGGCCCTCGGCGCGGCCCCCCGTCACGGCGGCAAGGCGGGCACAAACAGCCTGCCAGAATTGTGTCAGCAAGCCGCCGGTGACGGCGGCGACGCGGCGACGCGGCGGCCCTCTAGACGCCGCCGGCGCTGCGTCCGAGACGTCCGGGACCTCACCGTCGTCGCCGCAGGGCCGCGTCCGAGGCGCCGAGATTTGTTGTGGACGCGAAATACGGCGTCGGGATTACCGGCGGCTTCGCGGCCGCCAGCCTGCAACGTTGTAGTCGTCGACGAGTCCGCGCGTGGAAGCGGACCAAGCGGACCGCCAAAAGCAAAAGGCGAGCCGGAAGCACCGACCTGGCCTGCCTGGCCTCCTCGCCGACGGCCAGACTCGCCAGCGGGCAGTGCGGCCAAATAGAGCGGCCGAGCGGCACGCTTCTTGAGCCTTCTTGAGCCTTGTTGGGATTGGCCGATTGGGCGATTGGGCCGATGGGGCTAGCCGCTCCGCAGACTCCGCTCGGCCGACCGCGGCGTTTCCTCTTCCGAGCGGTGGGGCGTGGCGGGGCGTGGCGGGGCGTGGCGGGGCGTGGCCGAGCACTGCCAGGCCGAGGGACTGACCTAGGGGTGCACGCGGAACGAGCCGGCCGCCCGGCCGCGGTGAGTCAAG